ATTCACCTTCCTTTCTTTATATAACTCTAATCTTGATTACATAGTTACCATATACTGACAATCATGTCATCTAATCAAAGAGGAAATAATAAATGTATCATGAAAATGAATTATCAACTCAGTCTTCTGAATATTGTTGTAAAAGCTTTCTAATGTATGTATAACATGTAAGACAGTGGATGCAGTTCATAATCTCATTGCTTAACACAGTTTGTGTGCCTTTGTGGGAGAGAGGAACAGCGGGCTAAGCTTTGCTGCTCAGTGTGTGTATCCCTGAAGACATCTATGCACCACCTGTTCCTCCAGCCTTCGGCCGCTCCTGCTTCTCATTCCGCAGATCTTTTTTGACAATCGATTAAAACAATCTCCTTGGTGTTCATGTTCTTTGTGGCCATGTTCAACCATACCTGAATGTCAACACTCATGAGAATAGGTATTACGAGGAGGGCTAAACCTGTTCTGAAACTACTGTATACACGTTCAAATAATCCTTTACCAGGGCCACTCTGATGTCTGTTTTGCCTGCTCCATCCTGTGTGACATTCAAAGTTACTTTGCAAACACATGCATGTACTTTTAATTGGGTGTCACCCATGCATTATACGGATGAGTTTTTTTTTTAGAGGCCATTCATCCAAACCATATCCAGGTTTCCTGCTGTAATGATGTGTGATACATCAGGACTGAGGCATTTTAATGACAAAAAACATCAAGTTATACGATTATATAGTCAGAAATATCTAAGCAAAGGAAATATAATTTATACTTAGGAGAAAAGCATGGCATCTTATTTTTTTTTTTTTCTACCATTTTGTTTTTTGCCCCAACCAATATTATGAGCTCCACTGGGTTCTATCGATTTCAGCCAGCAGAAATGTCCTGCTAGAAATGTCCTAAATGTCCCATTCTTCTAGAAAAATCCTGTTAACTAACATCAAATAAAGTTAAGTAAAGTAACATTTGGTAACATAACATGACATGACAAAAGTAAAAGAAATATATTTTTCTAAACTTAATTGGATAAATTGCCTTATTGTGTTTAGTATTGGTCCATACAAGTATTTTCCCTTTATTCTCTTAAGTCTCTATATAGTACCTTGCTCTTCTGACAAAGGCATAATCTACAGACATTACCAGAGCCCTTTTAATTGAGAAACATGCCTCTAGAAAATTGTTGATTCAACTCCAAGTTGTAGTTGACAAAGTTTAGGAACAATTAACTTAGGATTAACTTTAGAAAAATTATAGGTAGCAAAATCTGTCACACTGAAGATAGAATAAAATCTGAATGGTCTGAAATGATTACAAAAACAAATTCTACAGGCTAAAGGAAACATATGGGAACAAAGGGGATGATGTACATTTATAAGGAAAGACAAACCTGGAGCTTTAATAGAGTGGGAATGAAATGAGAAAATTGATCCAGGTGAGTGCTGAAGAACTGTACTCAGAAATGGACTCAAAACTTAATTTAAAAGAGCTATTTTTGGGGTTCTTATACAAAATAAATGTCTAATTTAAATTTAAAAAAATGATTAAACTGCAAATTGACTTGTATCAATAAAACCCAGCTTTTTTACCCATTACCTTTAAACAGCTAATATGCTGCATATTGGGTTATTAAAGGATCATAGCGTTACATTTCCAACAGGATTTTGTGAAAAGACTATCTCAGTCATGATGTCTCATTTGTATGATGTAGCTTAGTAGATATTAACATAATATACTAAAGTGTTTATATAGTTGAGCTTAGAACAGTAAACAACTAAATTTATTCTTTTTTTTCTTCATCACTAAAATTTTAAAATCTGCATTTAGACACATCGACCTTGCAATTGCAGTTTGTGTTTCAGAAACTTTGACTTTATTTTAGTGAATGATGACTATGGCTGCCCGTGTCCCTCAGTAAATCTTACCCAATCGGTGATGTGCTGCTTTCCTTATTCTCACAGCTCAAGCTCTGTGACACTGCACCATAATTTTGGATTTAAGGCCAGATTGGAATATGCTTTAGTTCCTTATATTTAATTCATGTGACTTGTGCTGCAACAACCTCAACAGATGTTTTGTGCTCTGCAAATTCTTACTTTGTTTCTGTAGGGGATCTCTGGGGAATTCTACATCTCATGTTGTCCTGGACATTTGAACGGCTATGCCAAAGACTGCTTTTAGATTTATTTAAAAGATAATCCTTTCCTCTTCTGCAGTTCCTACGCTGTTCCCTCTAATGTTGATTTGATAGTTTGCATGCCTTTGGGGAGTCTTATGCAGTGCGTGGGATGACTTGGCACTATCGGCATGCTTGGTGCTCATCAGTGCGTGGTGCAGCCAGGTCGAGCTGTTTAACATCTATCATTTTGCTGAGCCATACATTATCATAATACTTAGTGTCACTGGCAGAGTGCATGCATTGTTCAGACATGCTGAATGTTAGTGGGGGGCAAATCTTTTGCTTGAGTAGCATTATCTATCAATCCTTCTCTGATGCTGAGAGGGGGGACTCAGAGCTGTGCCACACAGCCAGGAGTAAGAGATACAAAGAGTTCTTAAATATCCTCATCCATTCTCCTCTCCTTGGTTGGTCTATGCAGTGTAATTGACTAAAAATAGCCAGTTAAACTGATGTAAAGCAAGCATTTTGGTGAATAAACTGTGAAAAGTAAACTGCAGAAGAGTTGTGATTTGGAAACAAAGATTTTAGAGTGTGTCTTAGGCTCTTGTGGTTTGCGTTGAATTTTAGAAAGAAAGTATTTCAGTAAATACAGCTTAGCTGTAGCATGATGCTTTTATTGGGCTTTATCTTCAACAGGGACGTTTTAGACCAAGTGCTTGTAAATGACTGACAGACTGAGTAAGCTGAGTGACAGGTGGGGCTTAAGTCTACAGATGACCTCTTTGATCATTAGGAGGGAGGCTCTGAGGCGAGCAGACAAATAACGCTGTGAACAGGCCGCTTCAAAAGTCGATAGATGGAACAATGGAGAGATGGAGAGATGCTTGGTTTGTAAGAGGGAGGCCAAGTCAGACGTGAGTGTGCTGGACAAATCCTGAAAATTTCTCTGTTCACCTTTGACACTCAACTGCATACACTTGTATTGGAGACAAAAGGAGAAATAGATTATTTATGTATTATGCAATAAGTTACCGTTAATACATTTTGTTTTTAACAAAATATGTAAAGCAATTATTTCAATTAGTACCTGCATGTTTAGAAAAAAATAAAACATAAGTAAATTAATTTTTAAGGATTCATGCATGTGTTCTAGCAAGCCAATTTTTACTTCAAGATAAATAATTATAGGCAAAAAGGAAAAAAAAAAAAAAAGTAATTACCCAAAATGTGTCTTTCAAGTACAGAGACTAATTTCACCTCTCTTACTTTTCCTTTGAACCAGTTCACAGGGTTTACTTTTCCATTTCCCTAGCATACAATTGGTTGAACTTTTGTCCCCTGCTTAAATTATGGTGTGGTAAATTGTATTTGATTACCAAAGTATTTTTTCACCCCACTTAACCTGTTCATCACAGGAAGTTAGAAATCCATCTGCAGAACTAACACCAGAGCTCAAACTTAATTTCATAACATCTTCTAAAATATCTTCTTGTATCCCCCCCCCCCCAATTAATTCAGCAAACTGATTTCTATATATTTGGTGTATGTTTGCTTAATATCAGTTTTGCAAAGGGCGGTTTAAACATTTTTGAGGGTGTCAAAGGAATTAATAACACATTTAGCATATTAAAGAAGAGCCACGTAAAGAACCACTCTTCAAGTCTTTCAAGCTTTCCTTTCAGAAATTTATTCAGTAGTTTTCTTTTTTTTGAGTAATATGGCCTATGTCAGCCCAAATATTTTTTCAGAAAGTCACAATTCCAGATAATACATATAAAACGCATTTTATGCAGTTTAATTCAATTCATATAATTAATAAAGAAATGTTGACGTTTTGAGAGGTCTGTCCATATATTGACACAATAAAGGAACTCAAAACTCGGTTGGGAGTCGTTTTGCAAAAAAACAATTGCAAGTCGGTGATAGGCCTGTAGAGCTACTGATATTGATACCCTAATTTATTTTAATGATTATATTCTGCTTTTATGCTTTATTAAATCTGTTTTTCTTCCTGACAAAATATTCTGTATGACATTCAGGTCATTAAAGCGTGGCAGACATAATGCTTCCACCTTTTTTTCTTTTACCAAACTTTTCATTAGTATTCTCACTGTGCTCTTCCAGATGAAAGTGTCTTTAAAATTACATAATTTAAATTAATTTCTTTATCAGTGAGCCAAAAATGTCAAACTCCACATTAACATAAACATTTTAATATATCAGACAAAATGTATGGAAATGCGTAAGAATATAGGGTATCTGTAATCATGCAATATCACAGATACAGTCAAGGTAAACAGTGAACAACCAAGTAATGATTTTGTCTTAAATACAATTACCCACAGAAAGTTATTCTACAACTCAATAAAATAATTATAAAAGGTGTCTAATAAAACTATAACTTGGCATATGAAAAAAAAAAATCTGTTTTCGCTGCCTTAAAGCTCAAAGATATTTAATTGAAAACCAATTTGCTGATAAAGATTTTAATCAAGTGCAGAAAATTGTGTTTTATTCAGATTAATAAACTAATCTGCTATTAACCGATTCACCTGAATAAGAAAACTGTATTAAAATAAAAGATATATAAGGTTAAGTTGTCCACTGAAGTAGTTGTATAAGGATTAAATTCAATTTCTCCCTACGATTAAAGCGACATTGGCTTGACATAATTAAATAATGCTGCAGCTGGTATCTATCTCTTTAGGTAAATCCACATTAGGTTAACATTATATTCATTGATGCTTAATTAGAATTGTTTTCTCTTGGCAGTAGAAAGTATCACATTTAAAATGTTTTTTTTTCTATATCAATCAAATCTGGTGTAAAAGAAGCAATCCAGACTACATTTTTACATAATACAGACAAATAAGTATTTAGTGTGTGATCGATTAAAATCTAGGGTGCTAAATCAGCAAAGCTAAGCTTTGCTTTGGAAAGATTTTTTGATAAATATGGTTGTAAATCTGGGTTGAAAATGAAACATAAAAAATATATGTCATTGGCTGATAGTCAACATGGCTCAGAGTTTATTACAAAAAAGAAATCTTAAGATTATGTTAAAGCAAGACTAGATGAGTGTCGGCTTAGCCTACACTTCCAATGAGTTTCTTTTGGGACTCATCCCTTTAGATTTCCCTGCTTCATGTACAACAGTTTTGTAATGTCACACAAAGGATGACAAGTGTTTCCCCAGGCTCCCAAACTTTTCTGCTCTGTTGTGTGCCGTGCTGGTTCATCAGTGTCATTTAGGTGTTTTTTCCTCCTGAGTAACTGCCTAGTTATGGAGGTGGATGAAGGTTGTTGTGAAATGCAGCTCTTTTGGCCATGTGCCAGGGTGTGCTTCTAGCTTTTTAGGGATGATGCTTGCTAGGCATGCAAGCTATCATCAGAATTTGCAAGGGGTGTGGGCTTGCATGTATGTTTGTGTGTTTGTGTGTAGTCCCCCCATGGGAATCCTTGGCAGTAGGTGTGACATATAGTAATGGGAAATTATGCTGCACAGTGCAAAACCTCTTCTGAACAGGGTCACCCATTGTCAGCTCTGCCAAGCACGTAACAGAGCAACAACTCAACCTTTAATGAATGCTGTCACATTTTTGTCAGAGACGTATTTGCCATAAACTATGTATTTACATTCTGCCTCCTGAATTTCCCGACTTCAAAGAGCAGCCCCCGGAGATATGTGTGGGTACAGTTTCAGCTCATCATCGTGCATACTGATTTGTAGCTCAGTAACTATGATAGTAATCATTTATCAAAAAGCAGTGAATGTAATTTCTTTCACAAATGGGAAAGAAAAACTCTTCCCGTTGAGGCTGACTAAGCATTTTCATCACCTCTATGATTTAAATTAAACAAACTTCAAGGTTCTACAGCTGTACCTCTGACTTTTCACTTAATTTTGCTTGGTCTCTTTTACATGAGATTTATATAAGTACTTTTGCAATTATTAGAAGTTAGGCAAGTGTTCACAAGATTTAATCAAAGGGCTTGTTACATTAAAAAGATATATTTTTTCTTGAACTGCTCGTTATGTTTCTCTGAGGCTGTGGGGCTACTAACTTAAAAGAGAAACATTGCTCAGGATTTATAAATATAGTAAGGCTTATTATTTTTGCCATGGAAAATAATTACATTAATGCTATTTTAAATCTCTCTACATTTGTGACTGCTTACACTTTACATTTGTATTGTGTTGTTTTATAGCTGGTCAATTAAAATTCATTTTTCTCAGTGTTGTTTACGTAAAAATAGAATGGGTTTGGCTTGATTAAGACTTTTCTGGTATGGTAATGTCAGAAGAATATTTTTAAAGTATTTAGTATGAATATGAGTGTGACTCAGACTATGTCCAAAAAGGCATATTTGTCTATCTTGTAGGCAAGGAAAAGTTCTCATTAACTGTCATCCTGCTGACAGGCAGTGCACAGCGAAAGGGCATGGGTGAGGTAACAGTCACGTAGCTCAAAGAAACCTTTGCTGTGTTTTGCTGCGAATGTTATTTTTTTTTAAATGGGGTGCAATGTGATCAAAGTTTGCGCTGCCAACAGACAGGGTATCTATCAAATATCTGCAGACTAAGACAAAACAAAAACATTTATATTGAAGTAGCTTATTCTCAAACCTATAACTGCAATGTGGTTCATAGTACCTCATAAAAATGTAATGTCTTGTTGCTTACCGTTCTCAGTGCCTCTCGAATTCTGGGGCAGTTCTGCTGTTGATTTTAACCTTAGAAAACTGACAATTAAATTTAAAAAAGCAGCTTTAAAGGGACAGGAAACATGATCAGTTACATTGAGATACTAATGGCTACAAATTGAGAAAATGGCCTCAATCCAACATGTTATTAAAAATCCTTGAAGTGGTTTTGAAACTATAAACTTTTAATTCATCAGTATAACTTCATAGAGGTAGCTAGTCAACATAGCAAAATATATATATATATATATATATATATATATATATATATATATATATATAGGCTATAGTCAAGATTTCTTGAAATAAGTATATTTTCCCTTGATTTGATTGAGTAAATTTGACAAATTGATAATTTAACAAGATTATTTATCTTTAAAACATTCAAAAACCAACTCCCATATCCTATTTTAAGTGTATAATATCTAATTATCTTATTTTAAAGGCAAGCATACTCATTTCATTGGCAGATCATCTTACCTATACACTTATTTGAAAAAAACTTTAACATATTTTTTTAGATACATTTTGCAGTGTTTGCCTATTTTGTAGACATTTAAATGTTAACCTTTTTCATATTTATTTAATGTTGTTCAAAAAGGAACACATGCATTTTCTTCCTTTCATCTAATAAAACCTTTTATTTTTTCCATGGTTCCACAGGATGTGCCTTTCTAACATACTGTGCCAGAGAGTCAGCACTGAAAGCCCAGAGCGCCCTTCATGAACAGAAGACGCTGCCAGGGGTAAGTACCCCCAATCTGCCCTCCGTCAAGGGCCAAATTTGCTACTGCTGCTTGTAGAGCCGACACTCACATAAAACTAATTTTGCTCTTTCAGCCACATAAACAGGTCCTCACAGGGACACAGTGGATATTAAGATCCACATTTGAGTACAGGAGCACGGATATAAAAACAGATGGACAAACTTAATCATTTTTGTTTTCACTGCCTCTGTTTCTTTTACATTCAGGCATAAATTGCCTCTCGCACACTACTCATACCCACATCAACAGTGGAAGTAAAATACTGTCAGTGGCGTATCTCACCTTGCAGTGTCTTATTACACTAATCACCCCGCCAGAGATATTTGATAAGCGCTCCTTCATAACAGCTCGTGCTGTCCTTCCCCTGTCCTCTCACAATATGGCCGCTGTTGACACTAATTGCCTTGAGGAATCCCATTCTTATTATCACATATAATCAAACAGTAAGTATAAACAATAATTTTTACTGTGCCTTTTGCCATCTGGTGTTTTTGTTTTAATATCTACCCTTCTTTCCTTTTTCCCCCCACTAGCCTGTGGCAACAGGTAGCTCTTTTGATTTAAGTTAAAACCTCTTAAAATGACATAGGTAAAACATACCCTGTTGTCGGTTCTTAAGCCCACCCAGGAGGGTTCCCCATTTGGGATGAAAATGAGCCCCCGTTGTCTGTATGTCCTCAATGTGTTGGAGCGGAATTTATGTCTTACATGGGGGAGTTATCCGGGTTTGATTGAAGTACTGCCTGCAGGACCCTAAGAACGAGAACTTTATTTTCTGCCTAGAATTCACATCAGGCACCTCTGCCCCCTCCTTTCCTTTTACCACCAGGACAACTTCCCAGGTTGAGGCTTAGTAGCAGCCTAAAGACATCCTCATACATCTCTAGAGAGGGGTGCAGCAAAAAAAGCCGCATGAGACATGAGGCACGTAGTTAAGGAGGAGTAATTTATGACTGGTTCATAAATAAGAGCAGAGGTGATTGATCCATTTGTAGAGTTTCATGTTGTTCATGACTTTTAGGTAAATTAGTCGTTATTACTTTGCTGAATCTTGTATACACTTTACTGAATGTTAGGCACACCGGTACACCACAGAGAAAGTATCCCCCGGGAGACGAAGCTTTCTAGCTCCTTGCTGCCTCCTGTAGATTCATAATGAGATGATTGCCATGATGGTCCTTGCTGTGCCTGTCTTTATTGCCCTCATGGAGGGACAGTCTTGTTTGTCTTCTATCTAGGAAGAGGTTAATGGCATGTTCTGTGGGGTTTGAGTAAACATTTCCCCTGTATAGCTCGCAGCAAGGGGTCAGTCCTGCAATCTCAGGCTGAGCACAGCCCGCATACAGACAACTAATAAAGATGTGCTGTCTTTGTGTGTGGGTGTGAGGCTGAAACACAGAGAGAATGAGACAGAGGCAGGGAAAGAGAAAAAAGCCGAGGGAGCTGAAGAAAAGCAGAGACAGACAAAGACTGGGAGAGGTGACACTTCTGGACAAGCCTCATTGTCACTGTCATGGCCTAACGGTTTGAGATGCACAGGCACATAATGCTGCCATTTTGGCAACTTCTCCAGCCAGCGTTGCAGACATGATTGTGTAGTTCACTTGTGGCTGTGTGAGTGTCAGACAAACAAATGCACAATAACTTTCAATAACACTTGTGACATTTAAAGTAAATTTTCTCTCCAGAGAACAGATGATAATTTTTTACATAAGTAGCTAAATGCTACATGACTATAAAGCAGGAGTAATATTGGCACAACTCTTCTCTATTTGTAGTAAAAAATGGAAACCAGAGGAAGTGTTTTGAACGAGAAACTAAAACGAGGTAATATTCACTTTCAAGGCTTGATCAACAGTTTTAGAAGATCACTGCAAAGACTATAACATAATCAAGAAAAATACCCACTGCAGTTTGATCCTTTTATTGTAACAAAAATCAGAGTTTACTTTCTGTAATTCCCAACTCCTAAATTAAACAGTTAAACCAAAGCAGCAGACAAAAATTGACCAGAACATAAAGAGTTCCTCCAGTCATTTTGTGATGTATTAGAACACAAACCTCACAGATAAGATACAAAACTGAAGCTTTGATAACATTTCAACTAAGTAAATAAATTGGGCAGTGTTTTTACAAGTTCCACAATAGCTCTTTGTTGGAATATCATCAGAAAAATGATCCTCATTCAACAATTTATTTCTAAATTTGTGGTTATAGAAACCATTAAAACTTATCTAATTTCCTTCTCAATTTTAAAACATAGGTATCCAAAATCACAACTAGAGTGCTCATATTAATAATGCAGTGCATTCCTACAAATATGCAATTAGACAATAAGGCAGTGGCAAAAAAACAGCCATGATATAAGCTGCATTCTGTATATACATTACAATATAAGTTGTTATAATTAGAGCAAGTCATGCATTACATTTTTGTATGTAATTGTAATTGATGTATATCAAACATTTTATTCATCAAAGCAATGAGCTACAAATAAAAATTGACATTATTGATGATGTTGGAACTCAGATACCTTTTTAAGTGAATCACGGGATACATATGTGATAATTTTAAAAGCATAATTTACCATACTTAATTAAAGCAACACTTAATATTTTTATTTAGGCTTTGTGCTATGTTTTACTTTGTGAAAACAGGCTATTTAGAGAAAATGAAAAAGAACATTTGGATATATATTTAACCTCTTTTGCAAGATTATGAAAGGGGCAATTTTGGGTGAAGAGTAACATTAACTCAGTCCTCGAAAAACAAGAAAAAAACATTTCCCCTTAAGAAAATGTTTTATATAGCTCCAGAATTCAGAATTAAAAAAGGAGTCCTTTTTCTAAGAAATGAAAAGGGAAACCTTTTTCTCTAAATAAAGTTGTTCATTATTCACAGATGAAGCTACTAATATATTTTTGTTTGAATATCTGAGATATAAAAAAAAGTCTGAGTGCTATAACATTGTGTTCCTATTTCATGCAGAGAATTTACATCGATTTACGTACCGCTAAAGAGTTGAACGTCAAATTAGTCTAAAGTTTATGATGAACACTACAGTATGTTACTCATTTCTGGACAGAAAAGGTTGGAATATTAAAAATGGTTTGATATCTACTTAAGCCAAAACACATTTGCTGCTAAAAATGTAATAAAGTATTAAAAAAGAGGTGATGAATTAAACTGCAGGAGTGAAAGAAAACAGAGCAGCCTGATTTGTCACAAAGTAAAACATGGAGAAAGCATAGTTTCCTTTATTTTTTTGGAAATATGTAAAGAGATTTTAAGTTGCACTATATATCTATATTAGCCTGTCAGTAGACTTTCCTGCCTAAATTGCAGATCATTACTGATCTGTCCAAGTTTTCTCTTTGTTTACCAAAACTATAAAGAAAAATTATTGTCTGAATAAATAATGACATTAATTCATATTAATTACAGTGATTCAAATTTAAAGATGTTAGAAATTTTTTATATTATTTTTATCATCTCTGTGTTATAGTTGGGATTAGTTTTTTTAATCTGTTGTCTATCATTAGCACAATTACCTGTTTAAATCATAGTTTGTAGCTGAAATAATAATATTAGAGGTCTTATTTGAAACAAATTACAAGACAAAAAACTGCATACATGTTAAAGGTCTGATAAATGCATATCAGGTTCTGGTTGACATGTACAATGTGCATTCATATTTTGAGGTTGATTGGATGATTTTTCTCCGTGTCTTTATCAGGAGACGATTGTGCACATAGAGGTTGTGGATCAAAGAAAAACAATCTGATGATCAGCTGCTTTTCTTTGATAGCCCATAAACTTTATTGCAACTCTATTTTCTTGTTTGCAAGGCCATCTGGCAATAAAGAGTGCAAGAAACTAAAAATAATATTTGCAATTGAAACTGCATAATGTTATTTACAGCCATTTGCCAAATAGCCTCCCAACGTGGCACTATTGGAGCTACAGATCTTCAAATGAATTCTCATTTCTCCTTTCAGGGCCGTGCTGCTTACTCCCTCACAGGCCAATTAGTTCTTTGTGTTTGCATGTAACAGGCATGCTAATTGGGTGCTACAGTGGCCCAAAAGCCGATTAAACATTTCTGGAAAAAAAGCAAATATATTAATAAATAAAACATTCAGCCTCTCTTTGTCTCTCATTCACTTCTGTGTGTCTTTCTAACCTTCCTCCCAGCTCTTTGCCTGCCTAACCATACCCCCAAGGATGGTAGTGCTCTTCTTGTGTTTTCCCCATTTAAATAAAGGTGCCTGTTGATGGATCCACATTCTTGGGCTCTGAGAACCAGCATTGGCAGTGCCTCACCCAATATTGATGAAGAGCCACTCAAGCAAAGCTGTGAAGAGAATAAGCAACAGAAAATGTACACAATCTCTTTTTCTGTAGTGCTTCTCTTCAGTGTTGAAAGGAAAGGGTAACCTTGACAGCTGAAGTTTGGGCCAAAGTGGTTGACAAACTTTTTGGTTTGAAACATTTATTTCCTTTTTGTCTCAGTTTTGATAGTGCAGAAAATGATTTCGGTGCAGGCTGCTTCAAAAGTGGGATGGGGGAAGATTGTGCAATACAAGTATTATGTTTCACTAAGCACCATCCATGGATCAGTGCATTCATGTTGTTGATGCTCTCATCACACCACAAACGTAGACACTGTGTTTGCCTCAGTGCACATTGAAAATAAGAGACCAGCATATTTACGTATTCGTATTATGTCAAATCGAAAATGGCCCCGTCAGGAAAGACTGTGACTATAACCCAGAATACAATATATCAACAAAACAAAATATCTTTGAAACTTTTAAGACTTCTTCTATTACAGCACAACTTTATCATAGTTCTTAATACAAAAAAAAAACAATCCAAACATTTACTGCGATAAAGAGATATCTTAACATTAACAATGTTAATTGAAGCAATCTAAAATCTAGATGGAAGCAGAGTTAGATTATATCCCATGATCTAAG